CACAAAATGAGTGAAATAAATAGCATTAAAGATTTCAATAAATAAAACAATAAAAGCTATAATATTTCCCATAATTAATAAATAAAAGAAACTTTGAATTTTGCCCAAACTTTCGTCGTCGTCGTCGCCGCCATCGCTGCCTCTTTCGGATCTATTCATTAGTCTTTGGCTTTCGTTTAACATCCAGTGCTCGAAAAATCCGCCCTCTTTTAGACACGTTATTCTATAGTAAACCAAATTTAATAATTCAAAAAATATTTATAATTAAATATTGTTTAAGTTTTTGCAGACATTTTATCATATTGTTGTTTGTATTCAAAGTTCTTTCTAAAACCAATGGATAGGAAGTCGAGGAAAAAAGTGGATTCTTCTGTGAGTTGTGATAAATGAAAAGAATTCTCGCCATAAAGAATACCAACAAATTTGAGATAATCTCTCGATGTTATGAAAGCAATCGATTCTTTCGACTGAATCACAGTTTCAATGAGTTTCTCTTCACTCATTACAACTTCAATGTATTCTCCGATTTCTCGATAGAGACTAAAATCAGAATTCTTGGCAAATAGTAGTCAAAGAATTAGAGAGAAAGAAAACAATAATTTTAATGCAAATAAGAAACGAATGGATACTTTGATCATTTCATAAGCGCTGGAACTTCTATCTGTTTGAACACGAATTTTGCCATTTCTTAAATTTTCTGCCAATTCATCGATTGTATCAACAGTTTTAGACTTTAGAGGCCATGTCATCAAAGAGTAAAGGCATTGACTATAACTCGATGTCAACACAAGACACGACAAAACCCAAAAGAAAAGCATTGTTTTGAGTGATAGAAATGTTGTGATGTGACAAGAAATGGGTTGCTTTAATAGAATTGATAGTAAACACCAATTCAAGTGAAGTCTCGCAAATCTATGTTTATATGTGCATAATATTTTGATGTACACAAATGCCACCAAAATTGACAAAATGCAGAAAATCCAAATCCAATAATCAAAGACATCGAAAATCATTTCATAATTAGTCTTCACTTTGGGTATAGAAGTCATAAAAGTGACTGAAGTAACAGTGAATGGATACGAGAATTGTGCCGCTTGTGAGCGCTCATGAGTTATCGATATCTCCGATATACCGATATCTGCTTTCTATATGTTTGAAATTGAAATTGAAAACAGCATTAAACAGTTTTAAATGATTAAAAACTCATTGATCAACCATTGTATTCAAGTGTCCAATAATGCCTGTCCACGATTTATTAGGCAATAGAGTTCCCCAATCGTTGTCGCAATTGATTGGAGTGAACGTGAAGTTAAAGTGTTTGCTAAAAGTGGTGAGAAGTTTAAATTCTGTTCCTCCCGTCAAAAGCCAACTATTATTACTGGTTTCGTATCGCATGAAAACATACGGTTTATTCTGTGGACACAATTACATTTAGTATATCTGTTTATTATATTAAATGTTTACAAATTTACATCATTAACGGCCACATAGAAATTGGTTGCGTTCAGATTTAACATTATCTCATGCTTCTCGAGAAGTTATTTCAGATGTAATGAAACAAAAATGTAGTTTTTATATTATATAAATCTTTATATTTCTCAATATCTTCAATAATTATATGGTTTATAATTGTTCTTAAATGTGCAAAATGTGCAATATATTTGAAAAATTCAATTTTCCACTAAATTTAATCATTTATTGCTAAATAAACAAATATTAACAAATAATTGCTAACAAATAAAATTACAGATTAAATTTCTTGATCTTGATTTGTAAGCAAAATATCTAGTACTGTATAAATATTTTATAAACTATTAGTTTACTATAGTTTGCATTTTTGTAAGCTTATTTATCACTGTATTAAATCAATTAATTTTAATTCAATTGTTTTAAAAATAATTAAAGAAATAATTATTAATACATTTGCGATTAGTTTATGTAAAATATACTGTAAAATATACTAAAATTTACAGAATATACTGTTATAAAACAATAAAGCTGTACAGTAATTTTAGAGTATAAAGTTTAGTTTGTCCAAACATTTATATCGCCGTCAGTCAGTAAAAAGCCCACGGTCATATATTTTTACTGACCAGTATCATACAATGTAATGTAATTTAATTTATAAATCACCATAAACTGAGACAGACATCAACTCATGTGTATGATATACTATAATACTGTATATTATAGCCTTTGGCATAAATTATAATACACTGTACTATACGTAGTTAGGGGTTATATTGACAGCAAAGAGCACTACAATACTGTAGTTCAATAAAAGTTATAATTATTCCTCTTTTTATGATACCAAAGAGATCAGTGGTCTCGGCTCACAAATTAACAGCATTAGTGTTAATAACGTACTAATGACTATACAATGTACAATTCAAACCACTATTAAATATTATTGTGTAAACATAAAAGTAATAATTGTAAGAATATAAGACAAAATTGTTTTTCTTAATTCTTGATTCATTTAATATTAATGATAAATATTTAAAACAATTCACATGAAACTAGATTATAAAATGCATAACTATTATAGGACTAGAGAAGTGACTTTAGCCATCGCTCTCAACCAATTCATGGCAATTGAATGCTCATTATTGGTGACATTTTTCTGTATCCGATTATATGAATAACACAAAAATATTCTTTGATGAAAGCATAGGTATTGTGTCATTAGATTATAGTGTTTCTCAATCATTTGTGTGAAAAACTTGTTTGTTGTCTCGTCTTTGATTACTTCCAACAAAGAGGTTTTGAATTTCCAATAAGAGCTGAAAAATGACAATTTTTTTGTATTGAACTCATCTCTAAATCGCATTATAATAACAATCAAAACACTTTTATACCAACAAAAGGCGCGTAATTTACTAAATCCCAGATTTGTATCCTGTATTGCGATTAAATTCAATTTGAATTCATATCTGATAGGCGCTAACGCTTTGTCGTATTGTTTCATTTGAATGGCATTTCTCATAAACTCTTCTCTGTTTTCCGGGGATTCGCAGTAAAAGTCGTTTTGTTTGTGAATAGCGTTTTGTGCCAAATGGAAAGCCAATCGACATATCATGTTAAACGTGTATTTGCGGACCACATAGTTATGTACGATCTCCTGGCGCTCCTTCAGTTGCCTGCATATAATGAATACCAAAAATGAGCTCTCATTTCATTCTCAAAACCCAATCACTAATCCTTTTCATTCATCATTCAATCATTCATTACTCGCAAAATGTATTCATAGAGTCATTAGTGTCTGGGAGTAAACCACTTGTGAGCCCAAACACAGTCCGCAGCGCTTTGTCCGCGTCCTTCGTCTCCCTCGTCGTCGGCTCAACAATACTGTAGGCTTTGAACGCTTTGACGAAGAACTCACTCGTCCTCGAAAAGGGCTCTAAGCCCTTACTGAACACATTGTCCACCGCTTCCTGAGTCTCTTCATAGAGTTTACTTACTTTGCTTAACACAGAACTCACATCCGATGAATTTTCTCCCACTATTGCCTCACTTTTAACGCTAATATAAATTAATATTATTAACAATTTATGTGTTTTAAATTCAATGTCTATCCACATAATCTTGGCTTTAAATGTGAACTCTATTTATAAATAACTTCATGCAATTATTTTATTTATAAATAGTAAATACATAAGTATTGAATTAATATATGAACAGATGTTTCCGATTTAACACATAATGATTAGTTGATTAATAATCAATGATTATCGATATATTGTATACAGTATTTTACTTCTATGAAACAATATTATTGATATTTAGTAGTTATAAATAAATACAATAAATCTATGAAATTGATTAAGCATTCAAGTCTAAATTTAAGTTTATTTAGGGGATTAAATTGACAATAAATATATTAACATTTATTACTTATACAATATCTAAATAGTTTAGTATTTACAAAATGTTGAAATTAATCTAATAAAATAAATGATATAATATCCATAGTAATTTTGCATTATAGTTTGCGGATCAAATCTCGCAAAAGCATTAATTTCACAATTTATATTAATTGGTTAATAAATATATAAACAATATGGTATGGAAATTAATCTGCATTTATAAATCTACAAAACGGTGCAAACTATTTGATTCTATCTATTGTGGATCCGGAGATAATCTTAAGTGAAGAGGTCATCCTCCAAACTGTGTTTGGACCATGTTATCCAATGGCTTTTTAATTATTAAAATATTGATCAATATGTAGTTTTGCTAACCGTTTGCAAAATAATTTTTTAAATTAACATATAATACATGAAATTGATATGAAATTTCACGCTGAACACGATAATAATAGTAACTTTTTTATATCTTAAATATTATTTAAGTTATTCAACTTAGAACTCATTTCGAAAAAATTTAATTGCGTAATATTTGGATATTATATATAAATTTGATGCACAATGTGGTAAATTTTTTAGAATATTCACTAAAAGTTAATTATTTATATGGGATATTATTTGCATTGAATATACAAATAATGATTTGTATATATTTTTAGTTTCCGACATTATTTTAAAAATATTTTAAAACACATTTCATAGCATTTTTCCAAACACTTTTTGGAGGATGACCTCTTCAGATTAGATTATCTCCGGATCCACAATAGATAGAGACAAATAGTTTGCACCATTTTGTAGCTTAATAAATACAGATTAATTTCCATACCATATTGTTTATATATTTATTAACCAATTAATGTAGTAATTGATATAGTAGTTTTGCGAAATTTGTTCCGCGAATGATATATGCATAAATAATAATGAATTGTGCTAAACACCATTCATACTTATTTATATTAAACTAATTGACCATGCCATTTTTTTAAATTAATTCTAATGTTTTAAATAAATAAGTAATTGTTTTCTATTGGGTTTAGAGTATAATATTAGTGACTTTAGAGGCGGCGTCCAAAGCATTCATGATCATCGACTCGTGGATGTGTTCGAACACCGTTTCGGTCGGCGTATATCCCGAGCACAAAGACGAGCCCTCCCTGTGATAAAAGCACATGTAATTTATATTTATATCGAAATACGAGTCCCACATATCGTTGATAAACAATTTTAAATCATAGGCTGTGTTCAATGTGTCGAGAG